ATATTACGCAAAATGAAGGGGCCCCCAAAGAGATCAAACCTCCCCGGGCTCCCAAATGATGGTAAAATCCTAGCTACGCCACTGCTTTCAACCATCCAGAAATAAAGTCATATCTCAGCTATATTCAAGGTTATTACAAAATATTGTTAAATAGAAATAAAACAAATGGAATAAAAATATATTTGAATAAAATAAATGTTAAAGAAAATATCACGATAGAAAAGAAAATGAATGAAATAAGGGCAGAGTCAGAAATAAATACTAAGAAGTTAAAGATAGGGCAAAGAACAATTGTTATAGACAACAATTATTTTTTTTCTTTTATTTAAGCATATCAAATCTAGCTAACAGAATGGCTACTTTACAAAATGGCAGTCAAGTTAGCGCTTCAAATTTTTGTCAGGATAGTTTAGCTTTTAAATTATACATCACATTTTTTTTGCAGACTTTCAGGAGATTGTATCAGTAATTAAAACATTTTTTTTCTGAAGGAGTTCTTATAGATCAGTCATATGAGTTCTTATAGATCAGTCATATGAGTTCTTATAGATCAGCCATATTATTTTTATAAATCAGTCATATGAGTTCTTATAGATCAGCCATATTATTTTTATAAATCAGTCCTATGAGTTCTTTTAAATCAGTCAGATGAGTTCTTATACATCAGTCATATGAGTTCTAATTTTATAAAGAGTTTAAGCTGTGATATTTTTAATTTTCAAAACATTTTTAGAAAAGTATATCCAGAGTAAAATACAATTGTTAAAATTTAAAACATTTTTTTGAAATCACCTGTTGTATTGAAAATGCAATCCGCGATCTATTTAAATTCTGCTCAAAGTCCAGAAACGAAATATGCAACATAATTGAATACTTACTTACCAGGCAAGCACTCTACAACTTACACTAGGTAGACTAAGTCTCCAGTGGTGGTGAGAAGAACCTTAAGCCCAGGTAAAACTACAACAACCAGGTTAAGAGGTAACGTTTCAACATCTGACTCGAGACTTGACTTTATCGTCAATATGACCTCACGCTTCTCTTCGTTCAGGTTCAATGTCTACGACATAACAATCAATTTAGGCCAAGAGTCATTTTCTGTAACAATCGAAACGTGTTATTTAACGATGGTTCTAGAAGTATCACTATTTCTGGACCAAACAAATATGTGCTTCATATTTATATGAAAAAAGAAAACTTCCCTTTCTTGCCATGCGGTTTACAGATAGATGAAGTAAAGGTCATCTAATTGTGTGGCCCACGGTTAACCTGTGTGTCTTATAACCAACACATTGACCAGCCGCCTTTTCCTTTTACCATCTAATGTCATTTACCCATTACAGCTGGATGGACTCAGAGGGGCCCTTATCTCGAAATTTAGTCACCCAGTCTTTACCAGGATTCGAACCCGGGATCATAATCACAGTAAGGCATTGTCTTCAGGTTAAAATATTAAAGATGAATGCAGTATGTCATGAGACAATACAGACCTAGTCAGGACCAGCATAGTTTATAGCACTTGATGAAGACAAAACTTATAGGCAACTCATCAAACATAAACATCATTTACATATATTGACATGTCTGGCCACTTTATACATATTGATATAATTAAATGTAGGCCAACTGTCTAGATGTTTTATCAAATAATTATCAACCAATTAGAATCATCAAAACCATCACTTACCCATCAAGGACTCACTTTACACAAAAAATTCAGTTATCTACCCCTAACTTTAAGTTATAAAACAATCAATATATTTTGTTTGCTCTTGTTTGTAATATAATAAACGTTTTCTTTATATCTTTTTTTCTATATTTAAACTTGCACTGGCCTATATTTCTTGTTTCATTATGTCAAACATACTCTCTTATCTTATCTTAGTTTATTTTTGAGGAGGAAGAGAAACGATATTCACTTTGAGTAAAACACTAAAGACATTTTGAAATAGACATAAATACAATGTCAACAGAGATGTACAAGAGGGAAAGGGTTAAACTGATTCAAATCTAACGTAAACTACGTCCTCACTTCATGTCGATCCAAAACGCTATAATCATTATTATTATTATTATTATTATTGCTTTTTTTTGTATGACGTATAGGGCGCCTAGTGCGTTTGGTCTTATCTTTGTTGACATTTGTGTGGAGCGGAGTGTGGATAATTTTCAAGCTGCCCTTAGGCGCTCAGCAAACACAACACAGATTGAATCAAAACTCCTATTAAAAATTCCAAATCTAACACACAAAATGCACATAATGTAAAAAAACTATATAAGTGTGGAGTTGTGTACGCCGCTTTCAAGTACACAGATATACAACAAGTGTGTACCTTCTTTTATGTAACAGAACACTTGTTGATATCAGTCATAGATCATTTAGTGCGAAATGTTTACATAGGTGGACAATAATGCAGAATGCACAAGTTTGTAGCCTATTCACACAATTTCGGTCAATGAAGTTGGTTTTTATCGAAAATATAGTTAAAGAAGAAAAAAATGTCAATACAAAATAAAATAATAATAATAATAATAATTTCTCAGCGAACACCGTTAAAGGGACTTCAATGAATTTTGTTTCTCGCTAACGAAGCTCGACCCTGGCGATGCCAGAGAATGAATATTAGTTCTTTTTTTCCGATAATAATGATAATAATTTATATCTGTCAGTCACTCAATATTTTGAATAATTTTTAGCAGCCCCCGAAACACTATTAGTTTTGAGTGGTATGTCTGTCCGTCCGTCCGTCCCGTTTAAATCTCGTAAACTAGAAAAGATAGTGAAAATCCGACATCATATTTTAAGATATTCAAATTTTTGATGCAACGGCTACTTTTTTCTTTTCTGAAAGCGAAAAATCAATTATGCAAACAGTTTTTTTGTTTTTTTTAAAAACACACCATTTTTACAACTATTCACTATTAATAGTAACAAACACGGGAGGCTTTTTAGTTAGGAAGACAACAATTTGCCATTTTTTTAAACACATTTATGCAAACGGTTTTAGATTTTTAATTTGTCAAATAATAATTATTTTTTTTTACAATTGTATTACTAAGTTATATAAGCAATGCCATACTAAGTACAAAAATATGTTTTCTTCTTTTTAAAGAGAAAAAACTATATAGTATGCATAAAAGTGGAACAAAATTTAAAACAACAATTAATAAGTAGTTTTTCATATTATCGCGAGAACTGCAGAGCTCCCAGATGAACATGGAACACTTAACTAATGTTTTTTTTTCTTGAGCCTTCGAATAAGAGATTGACCCTTTACAAAATTATTAGATCATTATAAGCCATCAGTTAGGCCAGGTTCACATCTAAATTTACTTTCACTTTCACCATTCCCTTGGTCTGCTGGACCGTTGGGGGCACCACACAAGATCTGTCAACCTTCTTTCTCCATTCTTATATGTCATTTGCATTTGATAGAATTTCATTATGATATTCTATCTGAAAATATTGAAACCTGCCTTTTTACATGCCTGGGTGGAGCACTTCGGGGTCTGATTTTGAATTTGTGTTTCCACACAAACTGTCTTTGTAACCTTGTTAAAAGTTACTTTTCTTTATAGCAACTATCATGCTTCTAGCATGCTCATTGCACTAGAATCTCCTTCAACGGTGTTCGAGCGGTGAAGAGGGTATCTGGGATAAAGATTCCGAGCTGCCTTAAGGCGCACAGTAAACACAGCATGAGTCGAGTCTCGGACTCGGGCACATCACTTTTAACATATAGTATTGTAATTTACCTAATGTGTGAATGATCTCATAGTTCTTTGAGGTATTTTTTTTTTTTTTTTTACAAAGCTTACATCAGTTCACTCGTCAACTGATTTCTCAACTCACTCGTCAACGCAATCGTCAACTGACTCTGTCTGTCTTGTAAAATGTTTATACATGTTATTTCTCCCACACCCAATCTCGGATCAAGTTGAAATTTAGCACAATTATTTCTTGTATCTGGCAGAACAAGAATCAATTTTTTAAAAGAACCAATTAGTTAATAAGTATTGTGAATTTATTATTTTGTTTGTTATCGAACAAGGGAAAGAAATAGCACTTGACATATGTTTTGACAGTGGTGGTATAACTTGAGTTAGTCCTTTGTATACTTTGAGTAGAGAATACGCTTAAAAGTTTGAAACTAACAATAAATAACTATAAAACCTTTTATTTTCATAAGCTAGTTTCTAGCATAGTGGCTAAAGTTCGAATAGAAGTCGTACAACTTTTTTTTAAAATGTATATAAAATAGTTTTAAAAAGCTTTCACGGTAACATTGATAAAGATTATTTCATTCCAACCCATTTCCCAACTTATAGAATCATAGTGCATTGAGAAAGCTAAAAGCATATGGTAAAAATATATTTAATCGAAAAGAGTTATTACTGTTAGTCTAGATTTATTACAAATTAAATTACACGACTAGTTAGTAAAGTTCCCCTTTCAGAGATTCGAACCCAGGATCCCAGGATCAGAAGCCAAGCGCTTAACCACTCAGCCACCGCGCCCCTAAATTACATGACTGATCAAAACTAATTGTTACAATTACACTTAATATAAACTTTTTTAAAAACTTTTCTTTTTTTCAAGTTTTTCTTTTTTTTTTTTTTATTAATCTATCCATCTATCCATTTATCTATCTATGAATATATATATTCATTTTCATCTTTGAATTGTACAGAAATCTGATCAAACGTTTAATAATAACTTATCTGAACAAATGATAATTTCTTGAGTATTAGTAGATATTCCAAATGTTAGCGCCACATTAAAAAGCATTATTACTTATTTACATAGATTTATTGATGGATGAATGAATAGATGGATAGATAGATAGATAGATAGATAGATAGATAGATAGATAGATAGATAGATAGATAGATAGATAGATAGATAGATAGATAGATAGACAGACAGACAGACAGATAGATAGATATATGGATGGATGGATGAATGAATTTATCGATAGAAAAAACAGACTAAACAGACAGATATTTTTTTTAATTTTAAATTCAACATAAAAAATTATTTCCTTTAAATCTAAAGTAAGGTTTTTTACACTATATTTGTATACATCAGTTTGATTCACGCATGATGATTCATGAAAACATGTGTCTGGATGTTGGCTGCTCTGCAAATCGTACACAGAGGAATTAAAAAGTCCAGGGCAAACAGATAACAAGGCTCTCACACGTGATGGTGCAGAAATCAGTTCTTAAACAAGCTCACATGGTTCTGGTGTACCTCATCAGATTTAAATGTTGTCTGAGTCAGATGTTTAATACTTTACACTGTTAATCAACATTGTGGTTAATTTCAGTTCCTGGTCCGAACTGCCAGCGTGATAGGTTGGACAGGGTTAATAAGATTGAATTTGTAATTGATTTCAACGTCCTCCCCAATCTTGGGATACGTACTGTCATTTAATTCAAATGTGACTTTTCTAACCAGGTAAACCAACGCTGCTTTTAGTTCCTGCAGGGCCAGTCTCATCCCGATGCACAGACGAGGCCCGTAGCCAAATGGCATGAAAGACATAATATCTCGCGCTGTCTTATTCTCTTCGCTGAATCTCTCAGGGTCGAATTTTTCTGGTTTCGGGAAATGTTTAGGGTCAAGGAGAACAGCGAATATGGGGATGAAGACTGCGGCGCCTTTAGGAATAGTTATGCCATGGTATGTTCTGGTTTCAGCTGCTAGCCTTGACATGACGGGAGCAGGGGGGTAGAGGCGCAACGTTTCGTTGATGAACTGTTCCATATAGGTCAGTTGTGTGAGCTCTTCAAAAGTTGGACATTCAGAATTTACAACATTTTCAATTTCTTGATACAGTTTTTCCTGCAGAGAAATAGAGACATTGATAACGTTATCTATAAATATACTAATTAGTCTATTACCATGAAAAAGCAGGAACATTTAATTATGACGAAGTTTGTATCCCTATTAGTTAGTTCTTAAAGTTCCCCTTTTCAGACCTTGCGATCTATTGGGCAGATGTTGTAAAGATCACCTAATTCTGTGGCCCACGGTTAACGAGGGTGTCATGCAGCCAGCACAACGACGAATTGCCTATAATTTTCCCCAGCTAATGTCATGTACCGTTTAGAGTAGGGTGGACTCAGGGGCACTCAAAGGTCCCGAAATTAGTTTGTTCTTAGTGAAATAATAGTACAGCCGAAAATAAAGTCATTTTATTTCCATAAAAGTAGTCCCATGTATTTAAGTTCTCCTGCCCAGACAGTCAGGAATCTAATATATTTCTGGCCATAAAGAAATCTAGTTTTCTTTTGGTCAAAAAATTTTTTACATTAATTTTTACCTTGCCCATACATTCTTGAATCTAATTATTCCTGCCCATACATGAAAAATAAAGCTCAGACTGAATCAGAGGTTTTAATGGTTACCATGAAAAAGACACCATACCAGACGCTATGCATCCATAAAATGGCTTCTACCAAACAATGAAATGACGTATTCTGAAGTATAACTACTAAGTATTTGTATTAATCCTTACCTGAGATTAAAATTGTCCTATTTATTCTCGATTACATTTAAAAAATCCAATTATTGATTCTACTGTAGATTTCATTTTAATAAATACACAAAGTCTTAAATATAAGTGAGATTATATTCGACACAAAGCAGTACATTCTTAAGCTCAAAATAAAATGTGAGGGGAGATAATGTTTATATGCTAGCGATGTTTAAAGTACCGTCAGTTCGTATTAAGAAGTAATTTATAACTTCTTTATTTTTCTTTCTGTTACCTCTGCTATACACTATAATAAATGTAATTAGTTTATTAGTTAATTAGTTTATGTTAATTGTTGAATGGATTATTAAAATTGATTGTCTAAAAAATATGCTATTAAAATTTCCCTTTCAAATAAGCCATTGTTATAAATAATTCCTAATAGCTACCAATTATTTCACATTATTAGACATAGGCTAGTGAAATAGTGACCTTATGTGTAAGAGGTAAACATTTAAAACTGCAGGAGAAGCTTGGGTATTCGAGTCTGGGTGAAATAAAAAAGATTGCTTTCAGAAACTTAAATGGTATTTAATGCAATACTAAATCTTAAAGCAAGAGTTATCGTAGACAGTGAAAACGCAACCTTATCTGTGGAAGAAAAGCGTGCCAAACAAACGAAAAATTGTCTGGTTTCTCCAAAACCAAAGCAAATGTCACCTTCACCTGAGCTGCATGTGGGTGGACCATAGTCATTCCACAACTGAAGGAGGACATCAACAACAGCTACAGCCTTTCGCGAATTGTCCCCCCATCAGGTCTCATCTCCCTTGGAAAGTTTCTAAGAACAAGTATTCCAGACTAAAGTATTTCTTGACCGATGACTCACAGTTGTATGATTCCTATAACCTTCAAAGATTCCTGTGCACAGTGCTTACATATTTTCTAGTTGTGCGGTCTTATTCTTTTGAAAACATTGTTACTTTATTTCGAAAATGAATTGATGTTACTAGTCTGTTCTGTTTCCAAATCGCTACATTGTCTTGTTACCCTACGCTCTATTTTAAAATATTATGAAGACTTTGATGTTTTCTCTAATAGGAGTAGCTAAAGATATGATAAATTGTCAGAGAAAATATTCCATTTAGTCGCGCAGATCTCTATGACCTTACGGTTATACACCCCTACTACTAGACTACTGGGTAGTGCCTCCTTCAGTGGCGAAAACTGGGCATTAGCTGTCGTCAAAATGATGTCACCCACACAGCAGTTTCTCCCTCCCCACAAAGCTGAGGTGTGTGTACAGTTTGGGACTAGAGGTGGAGCAGGCTCTGTAAGACCCGGGTTCGCTGTTCTGCCTCATCGTGGCACCCGGGTGGAAACGGCTATTTGAGGAGATAGCTAGGCAAAATGAATGGCAAAACATAACTCCCGTGGGGATGCCCACGGGTAGACGAGAGTCCACCCCTTGCACGGGCGGGGTTGTAAAAAAGTCCTCACAAAAATTGTCACACATCCATGCGCCGTTCCTCAAAGGACCGTCCCATAAATGGCGAGTCCCCCACGGTTAGCTTGGTACAAAGAAGGAAGATGACGGAGGCTCCCAGTGCTCCTAGGCCTTCGGCCATGTGTCGGAGGCCGAAGACATTGGATATAGCAATGCTTTATATAGGCATTGACTCGGGTCGCTCTCAAACAGAACTGTGTTCCCACAGGTTTGTTTTTCTTTTTTTACTGTTACGGCTGGACGACCTAACAGGTTTTTTTCTTTTCAAACTTTGAGCTCGAAGAGCCTTCGGCTCAGCTCAGACGACAATCTAACGGCTCTGCAAGAGTGTAACACTGAGTGCATCAGGCTACACAAGGTCACCGGCAAATGATTTTTTCCTCCGGGTTGACTCCCGAAGTCTTTCCCACGTTTGGGCATAGTAGCAAGGCAGCGGTGGTTTTAATGGACAATAGTCCTTCTATCATACACACCAATACACACACATAGAGAAACACATACACAGGTTAATGAGATTAAACTCATATTACGATTTGGCATTTTTTAAAATTGCAAAAAACAACAACAAAATAAAAAAAAACAACAAGCAACAATTAAAGAAACTGACTTGAACGTGGGGATGTTTGGCCAGCATGTAGCAACACATCTGTAAAGTTGTTGCTGTAGTTTCGAACCCCGCGAAGATGATCAGCAAGGACTGAGCGATGAGTTCTTCCTGAGTCATAGTTTTCGAAGTTTTGCTGTCCATCCACTGGTCTTTGACTTCGGGACTCATCTCGTTTCCGTTATCGTCAGCTAAAGAAAACAAAACTATCAGAAATACTTTGTAACAAATGATGATCTAAGAACTGCGCAATCACAGCCATATCTCTCAACCCACCTTTATCTACATAAAACATAATTAATTACCACTTATTGATTAACTGATTGGGAAAATTTTCGATTGATTTTTGTATTGTCATCGATTATAACTAGTTGTGCAAAACCTAGTCATGGCTACATTGAAAAATAGAATCTTCCAACAGAGAGCTGACGAAGTTAAGGAAGAAGTCTTCTTTATGACTACCAGTTTACAATTCGAGGAATCCAGCTAGAAATTGTCTCATTTTGCCTTGATTTTCTTTTCTAGGACTTGTCTTCTATTAAGGCTTTTTTGTTGTTCTCAGCGTTTTTTGTTCCAATTTTAAGCCTCTATGTAATAGGCCACATATATAGCAGTATTTTAAAAACTATTGCTAAAAGACTATTGCTAAAAGACTATTGCTAAAAGACTATTGCTAAAAGACTATTGCTAAAAGACTATTGCAAAAACAGTACATCTAGCAGTGATAGCATTACCACCAGCTTTCATAGCTCTTATAAAACTTTGCAATAAGTCTGAAGGTAATCGTTGACCACGGTCCTCTAGTTCCTGTCTGTGTTCAAGTGTTCTGCGGAGTAGGTCATTGAAGTAACGGTCAGCGTCAGAATTGACCATATCAAACACTCGCAGCTTTAGTTTCTATATTTAAAAAAACAGGAGAACAAATTTTAATTGTATACAACCATTTTTAACCTTTGTTGTTGGCATTTAAAACAAACATAAATGTGCTTGGGTCGAAAGATATAGGAAAGATGAAAACTAAATTATTGAGTACGCAGACCCATTATTTGGTCACACCTTACAAGGACCCAAATAAGGCTGCCACAGAAGACATGTGCAGAAGGCAAAATGACCCATGCTTTGTCTCTGTCAGAGTGGACACCTTTGAGAGAATACACGTTGAACTCACAGGATACATTTATCGAAGTTTTGACATTTAATAGCGTTGTTTGGTTTGTTACTGTATCCGTCTGAAACCGGAAACGAATAGCGGAAAAAAAGAAAAAGGATGTGTGTGTGGGGGGGGGGGAGGTATTAATTGTAAGGTGAACGGAGCCTCAAGCTTTCCAACATGAGAAATAGCTTTGTGAGGTTTTGTTTTTTAAAATCAGTTATTTCAACCTTGACCTAACAGTTGTGGTAACTTTGACCTAAGGATTAAGAAAAACCTGCCATGTTTCTAAATAAGTGATTCTTTCTTTGCGTAAAAACAAACGTCTATGTCTCTGTGATGCTAGGCAAAGATTATATAAAGCTAATGGGATATACGTCTAATATTTATTGCATTCAAAGACCGCAACATAAACAAAGGGATTAGATACAAGGTTATTACAGCGATTGGACCCTACGATGACCTGCTGTCTATAAAACGCAAACTAAAACTCTATGGCCATATTACATATTTCCT